TGCCATTGTGTAGGAAAAACTGTGCAGTTGGGTTGTTTAAACCAGTGGCTCTCAAACAATGGAGCATGTCTCCCCAAAGAGATGAGGAAGTGAGAAGTTAGTTCTGTTGTTTAAACCAGTTGCTCTCAAACAATGGAGCATGTCTCCCCAAAGAGATGAGGAAGTGAGCCAGGGTACATGGCAGCTGAGTCAATTATTTTTTAAACAAAAGAGATTTAAAAAAAAAAAGATAGAAAACAACCCAAAGAAAAACCTCTAAAATCACATTTCTTAACACGTGATATCCCTTGGCAACAATGGCATATCTGGCTTATACTGCACAGTTTTTCCCACACAATGGCATATCTGACTTATACTGCAGTTTTTCCTACATAATGGCATATCTGACTTATGAACTAACTTCTCACTTCCTCATCTCTTTAAGTTAGTTCTGTTGTTTAAACCAGTGGCTCTCAAACAATGGAGCATGTCTCCCCGAAAAGCATATAACCAGTTTGGTAAGTAAAAGTTCAGTCAGTTCTTATTACACTTCGATTTGTGTAAAGTGTTAACTCTGTTTGCCAGGAAATGTAAAACTGTTGATCTTCCGAGCCAGGTGAGATTTTAGTTTGAAACTGCCATAATGCCGAGTTGCAGAATTTGTTGTTGCTGTTTATTAATTCATCATCTATATACCTCGCACTGCTGGTGAAAGATATGGTTTTTCAGATCCTACATCTAATGTTCATCAATGCACTTAGAACATAATTTTTTTCCTAGAATACAATAAAAGCTGATGAATGATATCATCATATCAAAAACTTGAATTAACCTTTAGCCCAAGTATCTCTATAAAGTGACTCAAACCATATGGCCAGCTTCTTTGCAAAAATGTTACTTTTTTATCAGTAATTGTGTATTTTCTACTTGATAAAGGAATTAGTCATTATAATGATGTTATGTAGAACTTTGGATCCTTTTGAAGTATTTGTATATGTGCAGCTTCTTTTTTCTGAGAATAATCTTTCATAATAGTAGCTGTCGAAGGTCACAAATGTTTGTATTATTTTTCAATGAATAAGTCGGCAGATACTCTGGGAAGTTTTTGTGTTTTTATCCTTTTGCAATTTTTCTATGTATGTAGTCCAAAACACAAATCGTTTTTCTGTTGTTGTTGCCATTAAGCTATAAAATAAAATGTGGAACAATTTTCCACAAATATGAGTAAATCATATTTGGGAGTAGAAAATATGATTGAACTATGAACTAACACTAAGTATTAACCAACAATTTGAAAGAAAAAACAGTTGAACTCAAGAAGAAAGCTCTTTTTTTTTCTTCTTGTTGTTGCCCATTTATGAATTTTGAAAGTAAAATTTGCTTGGAAGGCTTAAAAACTATAATACATTGTAAATAACTTGATTACCTTTTCTTTTATTAAAAAATAAATAATTTAATAAGCAAATTAGATTATGAGACTTGTCATAAAACTTCAAAATTATTTTGTTCATAAGCATAAGTGATCAAGAAATGTTAAAACTAGTTGAACATTTTAGGAAATAAGAATATTAAGAAAAATGAAAACTGAAAACTATGACTACCATAACTTTACTGAAAGCTCATACAACTATTTATTGCTATTTGTAAAAAAAAAAACAAAAAACTTTAATGTCTCAGGCTTGAAGTTTTTCAAAAAATATTATATTCACCATTGATAAAATATTGCATTTAGATGGCCACCTTTTGAACAGAAGCTATAAGCAATGAGTATTTAAAGAATGTTGATATTGCTTAAGTTAGAAGAATGAAATAGTTCTGTGTTCTATTCCCTTCGTTAATAATTTTTCAATGAAAGGATATATATGTAGTTGATTTTAATTTTTCTCATCTAATGATATTGTTTTCATAGTAGCGAAGGAGGAGGGAAAATGAAAGGTCAGAAACGAAACAATCTTCATATTTCCTCAAGATATAATAAAGAAGAACAAGAAGAGGTGAGAGTTCTGTGTTTATTTATGTTTTAATGATGCTCCTAATTATCGGCCAGCCATGCCAAACTGTGTATCCAAGGGTCCATGATTTGCATCCATCCGTCACTCTTTGCACTTTTGGGTTATGGATGCATTATGAGATTAACAGCAAAATCCCACTTAACTGTTAGAGTGGCCCGACAGTTGATGGTAGATGTGGATATACTTTTAGTCTATCAGTTCCAAATTAAGGGTGGTTAGTGCAGAATAGCCCATGTGTGGTTTTGGGCAAATATATGAAACATACAAAGTAATTGCATAGTTTAAATTTATCTAAAAGATTGAATATAAAATTATTTATTGAACTTTTTGTATCCCAAATAAAAATTTTGCTATTTGAATTCATTTCTTGCCATCCAGTATCTTGATTTTGTGTAGTTGGGTGTTTTATACTTTTCCCGAATTAAAATAATTGAAAATGTTTAAATTTATTCTTAAGATTGTGTTCATGTAGGATTACTTGTAAAATGTTTGTTCTTATATTTCAGGTAATAGAAAATCAATATCTCCCAAACATAGTGCTTCCCATTTCAACATTACCTAAATTCAACTTTGCCACATCAACTCCTGTTCCAAATACCACAGTTAGTGGACCTGTCACCAGTGGAAGCCCTGGATTTATATTTTTAGCACCAATACAATACAGTGTTCCATCAACACTGTCAGGTGCACATTCTTCTCAAGAAGTGAGTTTGTTTTAACAGTACAGTTAAGATTTACATATTTTATTGTGTAGTGAAATACAAGTTAGACCAATATCCTATCATTACAATCCAAATGTGGATTCATGTGGAGTCTTTACCAGTATCTAAAGAATGCTTTTGGGAACCAGTAAGATATGCTGAATGTTGGAACAGTAAGGTATTCAATCAAGGTGTATGAAAATAAAGTTCTGATCACAGTTAAAGTAAACCAGTTCTACCATCATTTAAAACAACTAAATTTGATACAATTTAAATTAATAAGGCCTCTAAGCATGAACAAGCAGGAAATAATGGTGATTGCAGTCATTACTACCAACATTTTATCAGTGGCTTTGGAAATGACAAGATATTTTGTTTTTGAAATAGGCCATGATTAGTTTTTAAGAATATCTTGATATCTAAACAAGCTGCAACTTGCAAAACATTTGCAGTAGTTTTCATGCCCTCTGCTTCAATTTTCCTTATTCTGTCGTTTTCATACACAGCATTTAAGCTATGCTTTCTTGCATCATGTATACCATACTCATTGCATTAAAAATTTTGACCAAGCAAAAAACAGGTAAGTTGATTCTCAGTGAAAAAGCCAGTGTGCAATCTGGACTTCTTGGACAAGGCCTTTCTGACAATATGGGATATATATATATATATATGTGTGTGTGTGTATTGAAATGAAAATTTTTGTCATTTCATCAACAGGACAAAAAATTCACATTCAGTTCACCTGTGATTCTGGACAACAGTACCACCACTCCAGAAAGTCCATCCAAGAAGCAGAAAGGTAATATTTGATTTTTTAAGGTAAACAAAATTTCTAAGTGTGAGATACATAGTTGTTATCCATAAACCTTAGTAAATGGAATTGTTTTGCTCTGTTTCTCCTTTCAATACTTTTTGCCTATAGTTTTGATTTCCACTGCTAATTTTAAAAATGGTTCAATGGAAAAAGATGGATACAGCATAAGTAACGTGCTCGTTCCAGATTTCTGAGAACAAAGAAATATCTGGTAAAGTTAGGGTAACAGTGCACAATTCTCAAAAACTCAAGGGGTTTAACTTTGTTTTTTTAAAAGTTTCTACTTCAGGTTTTTCAGTGAAATACGTTCTCTGCCCAATGCTTTGACCAAACTAGATTTGAGGGTCTTGGGCTCATTTCCCATATGTACTTGCTCGCCTTGTATTTGTTATTACAAAGCTACTGAGACTATATGCCACTGTCATTAAATTTTAGCTACTAACTAGAGAGAGAAGGCAAATGGCTGGCAGCAACCACTGCCAACATTCTGGCTAATAAAATATTAAATGTAAATTTACTGTTTCTTAGCATTGTCTTGCGTGTCTATTTTATAATTGTGTTACTATATTCTTTAATTTTGTATAAGCAGGCATGGATTTAAGGGTGGGATCCAGAAAGTCTGGACCCCAAACCCAGATTATACATTTTATTTTATAAATTAATAACTATTCTTTAATGTTACATAAGCTGGTGCAGATCTGGTGAGTAGGGAGTCTAAACCCTCCTCCCTTTTGTAAGAACTTATTTGTCAATAGTAATAATGTATATACATATATAATGTATAATAATTGAAATGTGACTGTACTTTACAAAAATACTACCCCACTAAAACATAGCCAAGACAGGTCACTTTGCAAAGACTAAAGGTTAGTTATATATTATTGGATACGGTAACACGAGCACACATGCTCCACGTCACTGTAACTTCTGTATTGTTAACCAGGCACAGTAGTGAAAAAAAATAAAATGAAGTATTTTTGTTGTTTTTTTAAATTTGATAATTATCCGGAGATTATAAAGATTTCACATGTGAAATTTGAAAGTGTTATAATGTATTAAAGTATTTTTAATCTTAAAATCAAAATTGCTTTGCATGTTCGATAGTCAACATTCTGAAAGAAAAAGGTTTACGAAGAAATCTTAATACTTAATTTAAAAAACTTGATATTTTGTGTAGAAAACCTTGTAATGTTTATCAATAACCTGCAAGATTTTGTAATGATGTTCATACATTATCAAAAAGCATAGTATAATTACTCGTGTGGATACTTTCCTGGTTACGAGCTGGGTGGATTCCACTCAGCCCATAATGGAAGGGTTGTTTAAGCAGGTGCATATTTTGGAAGGACTTAATAAAAGTACAATATTTGGAGAAGGTTTTGTTATCATCAGGTACAACAGAGAAAATGTTTTATACATAAATGATGACCTTCAGGAAAGGTCTATGATATGAAATTAGTTCCATGTTACAATAATGCAGTGGTGGAAAATGTTATAAATACAGTACACACTTGTTTTTCTCTTATACTTAGGGGACTTGAACTAATTGATTAACCCTTTTACTACAAATAGGTCACAAGTTATTAGAGAGTTACATTCCAAATTACCATTTTTTTTATCATCAAGAACTATTGAAATTGCAATTTTTCAGCTAACACTTCTTGACTTCCTTGAAGAATCTTTGGTTTTAAATTATATTCCTTGTTATAATATTTTTCTTTTGCTCCCCTTCAGAGTTTTTGTATTTTAAATTCACAGTGAGTGTGCTATGATTATATGAATAGCCCCAAAGTAGAAAGTTCAGCTCTTGGAAAATTTCTTATTTTTGTTTGTTTACTTCTTTTGTAGCAGTACATGACTTCAGTTGTCCAACAGTGCCATCAAGCTCTGGCATCTCATTTACTTCTATAGTGTCAGTAGAATCTTCTGAAGGCTTCAAGAAGTCTCAGTCAGACAGTACTGCAGGTTCTGGAATAAAACCAGCCAGCGATCTCATTGTGGGAGGTAGCGTGATGGATGTACTAGTGAAAACTAAAACCAGCATTCCAGCTGATAAGCCTGTCATTGATCTCACTGTTGAAAGTACTTCAGTGAACATTGAAGAAAAGTGTAAACAAGTACATGCCAATATTTCACCATCTAGCACTAGTAGGCAAGCTAGTGACAAACTACAGGCTGAAAACCCATTGCAAGGTACATTTCTGCAATAATTTTGGAGAGAAAAAAATCAGTTTTGATATCAGGAAAAAATATACACAGCAGGTGTTTTAAATTTGTTTGAAGTTGCACGAGAATAATGTTTATTTATAAATTATTCCTAAAATATGACCTTGTTCTTTTTGTAAGTTTAATGAGTATAATTTTGTCTCTAGTGTGATGTACACGCTATTATAACAATGAAACACTGGACTATCAATGATCATTCTTTTACCTGATGTTAAATATATGCTGATATTTATAGTTTGCTGAACATTATTCCTTTTTTGTGTTGTGAATGTTGGTATAGGAAACATAAAAACACTAGAGTACTTAAAATCTTTCTATACTTTGTTTTATTTTCAGTTTTTCCAAAGTTAATTAATTTAATTAATCTGAATGATTATCTAAAGACCACAGAAAAATACTTGAAAATATTTATAGGCAAGTGATATTCAGAGGTATTTATTGTTTGATGAAAATCAAAAATTTTCAATGTTTATAGTTTCATAATATGATTGTATAAGAAGGAAAGTGTGGTCAGTTCTTTAGCCAGATGGCTTCAGTTATATTTTATATCATTTCTAATATGATTGTTTACATTTAGAAAAACAAGGATTTGGAGAGAAATTTAAACCAGACCCAGGATCTTGGGAGTGTTCAGTGTGCATGCTAAGAAACAAGTCAGAAGATTTAAAATGTGTAGCCTGTGAAAATCCAAAGCTTGGGGCAGGATCTTTAACCCAAAATTCAGGTGAGGGAAGACTTGATTAGCTGCTAATCTCATGTATGTAGATGTTGAATGTAATCTAGGTTTTTGACTCTCTTACAATAGGTAGGTCGAAGTGCGCATGTCACAACCTTTTACAGAATTACTTTCAAAATTTAAACTGTTATCAATGTATAGGAATAAACTTGGCACCAAAATGTAGTTAGTAAATCAAGTATTAATATTATATAATATTTAAGTTCTTAATTTTATAAGGAATCTTTTATAAAAATCTCAATCTACCCAAGTATGAGAATTGACATCTGTTCTCTTGGTACTCCCCCTTCTCTAATTTATACGCAAGTACTAAATTTTTAGTTTTTATGTGTATTTTTTATTTAGTGTTGTAAAGCTACTAAAATGTAAAAATTAGAATATTAT